TCAGGTTCACATGCAGGGCACATTCTCAGGTTCTAGGTGGACATATCAACCTGCTGTAGCCATTCAACCCCTGCATTCATTCATTCAGCCCCCGCCGCCATTCTGCCCTCTGCAGCCAATCCACCCCTGCATCTACTAATTCATTCCACAGCGGCCATTCAGCAGACTCCAATAATGCTGTTTGGTTATTGCAATGGTCAGTGTCAACAATCATATTCCAACTGTCTGATCTGAATATATAATGCTCTTGAAATACATTCTCAAATGCCTCTTGGAAGGGAGATTATTTTGTGACTCTTGCCGACAGAGTGTAGGTGCCGTTAACAGTATTGAGTGATTCAATCCATTGTGGGACTTGAAATAGCAAGCAACTGAGAACTTCTAAAACTTAATTTTTATTTCTTCTGCTCCATAAACTTTTGATTTTTTTTTAAAGTCTATATTAAGTCTTGCTCCTTTTTCATATTTCAGCACAAGATAGACCGAAATAACTTGGAACCATGTTAAATGGTAACAGTGGACATCAGATGCTTTTTTACGGTGTTTAAATCCAAGCTGTGTGAACCCAGAAAAGCATCCTTAAGCATTGTCTATAGATCATGTTCTGTTAGCATCGTTAGTGTGGAACAGAAATGGGTATACATAAGCTTTATAACTTTGGTCAAGTTTTATATTTTTCATTTACTTACCTCCTAGAAAGTTTGAAATTTTGAAGATGTCAGCAAACATATCTATTATGAATGGGTTTTAGGTTGATAATGAAACATGATATTATGCATTTGTGCTACCGCAGTCCCTGGTTTCAGAATTGAGTGTAAGAGCTGTCTGCAGAGTAGATTTATTCCTCCTGATCCTGTTTTCCTGCACAAAATCCTTAAACACATCAAGTAATGTGTAGACTGAATATATTAACTTGAGGTTGTAAACTATTTTTAAGGTTACAGTTATAACTTTTTAAGTGTGATAAAATGTCTTCCTTTTTACTCTCCCCAATAAAATCTATCATTTATTGTACTAAAGCCTTTATGACTGAGCAAATGACAGTCCTTTTGCAGAAGCAATGCTGAATTGTAGGGAGTGTAATTCAGCCACCACCCTGGCAGATTTTTTTGCAAGTTACTTCCGTATTTGGGTTTCATTCTTCACCTCAGAAGCAGGGTACCCATTCCACTGAGCTTGGTATCTTAAAGATTGTGGTGATCTAGAAAAGTGACATGACTGTCCCACACTGAGCCATTATTCCTGGGGGAGTCTTGATGAAAACCCTGGATGTGGGCACTGTTGACCTTTGCACAACTTTAGTGCCTTCTAAATTGGCACCATCAGCCACTTCATAAACACTTTTGGATTGTGAGTAAATAATTGTGACTTTTTAATTTCATAAAGCATAAATTCTTTTTTTTTTTTTAAGAGGGATTTTTGCTATAGGGTGCACACGCTAGCTGGAGAGACAGAAAGAGAGCGTCCACCTCCCAGGAGGAATGATCACACTTTTTTTTTTTTTAAGAGGGATTTTTGCTATAGGGTGCACACGCTAGCTGGAGAGACAGAAAGAGAGCGATCCCCCTCCCAGGAGGAATGATCACATCGCAATCCCTTCTCCTTCATTCTTTCTAAGAATTTTGGGCATGCATGCACATGCACCCAGCATAAGCTTTAAGCCGCTGGTTCTGGGACTCGAACCATAGTCGACTAAATGGGAGTCTAGTGATATAACCATTATGCGTATGCTGGTCCCTATAAATTATTCTTTTTTTTCTATAAATTACTCTTTCCTTCCGTTTTTTTCCTAAGATCTAATTACTCAAATCAGTTTTCATCTTTTATTAGCTTTAAGAGTATGTTTAACATTAAGATAAAAAATATTTTTAAAATAAAGATCTTATTCTAGATATATGAAAAGACAATGCATGCCTGTGAAGAATAAAAGAAAAATGAAAAATTTTATCATGAAAATAGTGATCACTTTGTATTTTCACCTCACTTCTTTCTGTTCAGATTGTATTCAGTCAGTGGCATCAGTGTTGCTGTTGATTTTTAACTGATTATAAGCATTTGCCTCTATCAAGTTTCCTTTGGAAGAATACTTTTAAAATTATAGTTTTAACCTAACATAATAGTTGTGCATATCTATAGGACACAATATTTGCTTTTTTTTATCTTTTTTTTTGAGTGACTTTGGTTATAGACCATGCATACTCGCTGGAGAGACAGAAAGAGACAGAGAGACAGAAAGCGAGAAATCACCTCCCCCCCTTCCCTGGGGAATGGCAACCCTGCAGTCCCTTCTCGTCCATTCTCCTCTTGGGATTTTGGGCACACATACATGCACACCTGGTGTGAGTCTCAAGCTACTAACTAGGTCCTGGACTTGAACCATGGTCGTCGACCATATGGATGTCCAGCACGTTAACCACTATGCCATCTGCTGGCCCCATTTATGTGTTTTTCTGTGTTGTTACTCAGTGCTCTGGCACTCATTCCATTATTTATTTGCATTCTTGTATCTGGAGGCCAAGTTCTTCCTCCTTGCCTCCCCGGCTCAGCTCTGGTGCCACCACGTCACGATCCACATCTCAGACCAATGCTTCCGCGTCCTCGGATGAGAGAGGACTGGCCATTGTCTTTGTCTTTCAGTGGTTTGGCCTGGTTTGTTTTGGTTAGCGTCATTTCCCTTCAGGTTTGTCTGTGCTGTCTCCAATGACAAGTTTTCATCTCTCTCTCTCTCTTTTTTTAATGACTGTATTAGTGTTAACAGATGCATGAAATTTTGTTGTTTGGCTATGCCATAATTTGTCTGTTTCTCCAACACCCAACCTCTTCGGTAGTTTCTGATTTTTTCTGTGATAAATCATGCTAAAATCAAGCAGTCAGATATGGTTGTTGTCCGATTAGCGGGGAATTGCTGTTTGTGTAGGTCCTGACCGTGCTGCCTGGCTGCTCAAGAAAAGCAAGCAGTGAACTTCGGCCGCGGGCAGGTCTGTTTGCTCTTGCCTGCGTGACTACCTTTCTTCTGATACCCTTTGTGATCCTGTGCTTGCAGGAGAGAGGCATAGACAGAGAGAGGGAAAGTGAGAAATCACCCCCAGGGCGATGGCCATGCCCAGCCCCTCTTCCTCTTTTGTGATTGGAGGCATGCCTGCCCAGACACCTGGCGGGATTCTGATGAGCAAAAGTGGTATTGCGTATTGGCTGAAACGTCTCCTATCACTGTGTGTTCTGGGTCCCAGTGTTACCCCTGCCTCAGTAGCAGCCATGGGGAGGAACAGAAGACCTCAGAGAGTGGACTCTGGTTGCCAGGTATTTCCTGACTTCAGAAACCTTGAAAAGCAGGAAGTAAGTGTGTCTTGAACCAAGGACACAGAATCTGAAACTTCAGGCGTGCTTCTTGTGATTTCCTCGCCTTGCTTGTGAGGTAGATTGACTCTTCTCATTTATGAACGAGGTGTGATCCAAACACGGGTACGCATGACTTTCAGCATCCTACAGAAACTGATGAGGTGTGGTCAAGGTGGCCGGATCCCACAGGGCTCACTGCGGTCGCAGCCCCAGCCTACAGCTTGAGATACACACTGGGCGAGCGTGTGTATGCGTGTGTGTGTGTCCGAAATCCCAACAGGAGGGAGAGAGAGGAGAGAAGGGATTGTGGTGTGACCATCCCCCGTGGGGATGGCTGTCTTACTTTCCCTGTCCTCCTCTCTCTCTCTCTCTAGAGTACACTTGCCCTCTGGCAAATTTTACATACTAATATAATAATAAAAAGACTGATGTGCTAGCCTTCTTGAAGAGAGATTTTTTTTAAATGCATTTAGAATGGAAATGTCAAATGGGGTATTTTTCTTTGTTTTCTTTTTTTATTTGCAAGTGATCATGGTTTTAATGCAAATAATCATAGCTTTTTTTTTTTTTAAGATAAAATAAAACGTAGAATCTCAATCCAGAGGTACACTCTGTTTCCATTCGTATCCACACAGAATTGCTGTGTGGCGCTGACTCAGAAGCCCCAGGTCACTCTGTGCCCATTGTGGAGGGGGCCCCCCACCAGTGTCACAGCGCCGCCCAGTGTGGCAGGTTGTCTGCCCACAGTGCGGGCAGGGCGCCCCTTCACCAGCTCTGCTGCCTGCTGCACGTGGGATGTGGCCTAGAGACTGCGTGGGTTCGAATCTGTGCCTCGACGCACCTCTCCTGCGCCTTGGTTTTCTCGTCCTCCTCTCCCTGGTAGCCACATTCCCCCAGTCGGGCAGTGCTAGCTTTTCATCTTTTTCCTGGAAACTCCTGGTACTCAGGCTGCAAAGGCCCTTGAAGTGGCAAAGCCGAAAGGGAAAAGCAAGATTATGTATACGGAGTCTCTTGACGGGCAAGTTTTGCCATCGGGTGGGCTTGACTGTAGCTTCTTTTAATCAGCTTTCCTTTGCACCTAATTTCTTAATAATGAACATTATCCTAAACTGCAGGATATAGTATAATATTGGGTTGCCACTACCTGTGTCTGTCAGCGTAAGTGGAAAGCGAATTTTCACACACATAGTATGTTTGTACATTGTTAAATTACAGATGATATTCAGAATTACTGAAATGAGGTGTAGAGGAAATTTTCTTTCTTTGAAAGGTCAATATTTTGTAGGTCACATTGTGTATTTTCTGTTAAGTTTCCTATTTTAAAGTAAGTATCCAGCTTACGGAGTTGACTCATTATATGTTCATGATATTCTTTACACTGATGCTGAATTTCAGCTCCAATGTGTTGACTTTTTCCCCCTTATTTTAAAGTTGGTTTAGTGTGACAAGAACGATTTAAGATTTGATGAGATATATGACCGACCTATTTTAGGTAGTTTCTTGAAGGGGAAGATGTTCCTTTTTTGTTGGCCTTCTCAAAAATTGTGTAATAATTTTTTTTTTTTTAGTGTTCCTTACAGGTTTATACATAACAAGCTAAATTACTTTGCTGTCGATGGTGTATCTTAGGCAACTTATCTATTTTTTCTTGTCATTTTTAGGATTCTGAGTAACAATAAAATATCTGAGCTGAAGAATGGCTCCTTTTCTGGCTTAAGTCTTCTTGAAAGATTGTGAGTATTCTTTCATTATCATCTCTTATTGTTTTATTTCATGCATTTTCATTAGATTACTAAACTCCCAACTATTCCAAAGAAATGAGGTTTTCCAATGTTTTACTATAAAAAAAGTCAAGAATCGAATTTTCAGACGCAAGTGAAGACTTACATTCTGTAAGAATTTAAGAGAGTAGGTAGTTTATGTTTTGTGGACCCTGTGGCCTCTGTCACAGTGACACAGCCCTGTCTCTGAATTCCAAGAGAGCCAGAGATACCAAGTCAGTAACGTGAGAGTCATGCATACGACAGTATTCGAGAGTAATAAACACATTAATCAGTGTGGCTGTCTTCCAATAAAGCTGTATTTATAAAACAGGCTGTGGCCCATGTGAAGGGACTATAAAGAGTTATTAGTTCACGTTTATTTTGGTGGGGTAAAAAATTGAAATCTAGGCAGAGTTTTTTCATAAGACACATTTTCATGAACTTTATAGGACTCCCCATAGTTTCCTGACCACTGGCTGAATGCACAGATGCTGTTTTGGAATTCTGTATTATGAAATGCATATTCCTCCTAAGAGAGTAGAATGGAATTAAAAAAAGAAAAATGGGTCAAAAGGGAAAATCTTTTAGGTAAACTTCGGTATGCAGATGCCTTTGAATTTCTAATTCTTTCTAGCTTAGCAATTAGGTTTGCTTTTGCTTATGCTCTGCTGTGTTACCCGTAGCACCCGCGTTCAGCCTTGGTGAATTTTAGACAGTGGGTGTGTAATTTGCATGTATCCTGAATGCCGTTAAGGAACCGTGTTCACGTTCCCCGCTTACTCATTAAGGGAGGATAGAATTTCACACTGCCTGAGGGAGCACACAGCGATCCTCTCTGTTTCTGAGGAGCAGTGAGCCCCGTTTCCTTCCTTCTTTCTGCTCCACTTCCCTGTCCCTGCCTCTCTGTGCCCCCTTTCCCACCTCTGTCACCCAGGGGCTCCTCCTGCAGTCGCCCTCAGGGAGGTCCTCCTTATTCAGGCAACTGATAAACTATTTAGTGTGTATCACCTCCATTTTTACATGTCTTTGTTCTTTTCACTTAGTTCAGGTGACTTGTAAGTGACGTTTTATATATAACTGTGTATGTACTTAGAGCCAAACATGTTTATACCACGTGTACATTCATATTTACACACACATACATGCAGAAACACATGTAAATACTGAAAAGCAATCTTGGCATGGAGGGACTCGAGTCTCAGGTTGCTTTTTTGTTGTTTGCTCGGTTGACTTGGGCATTCTCTCGTGCTCCATGGAGGCAGCGTGTTGAGAGGGTGCTGGGTGCACCCTCAGCTCCAGCCTGACCAGGCTAATGACAGTCCTTCGTCCTTATTCCCTGGTGCTGGCTCAGGGATGGGTGTTTGACCCAGTTTGATTGAGTTGAGATGTCGCTGGAGCTTTGGGGAAAGGAGTGAACTCCTTCCTGTCAGGAGAAAAGGTCGTTTTTGCTCTGGTCCGGAAATCATCCTGATTCGACCCTCTGAGGGTGGAGAGGGACTATCATGGGGACAAGGAGGAAGGCTGGGATGACCTTGCCGAAGCGTGACTGCCTCTGGACTGTCGAAGTTGTATGAGGTAGTCAGTTCTCATCAGGGTTTCTCTTCCTTCTGCAGAAAAGTTACTGTGGTTGACAAATACCCTTAGCACATAGAGCATAGTCAGGTCGTTGGTGGGTGTTCAGTTGATAACCGAAGGAGTCATTGCGGTCTACCTTTCCAGGAGGACGATGACAGGCGCTCCGAGATTATAAATAGTGTCTGTTGTGTTTATTTTTGGCACCTGGATGGATGTGGTAGGTCGCGTGGGCAGCGGAGCTGGTGTGCTCTGGTGTGGCGTGAATTGCCACGTTTTACACTCATTTTTTAGTCTCCTCTGTCTTGGAACTTCTTTTCAGCCATTTGTTGATCATCAGTCCCCGTACATGGCAGAGACAAATGAGGCTGCCATGTTTGGTGGTACCGAGGTGCCGGGATTATTTTTAGCCTGGGGCCTGTTTAGTATCTGACTCCCAGAATACCTTTTCTTTCTTTTGTGGCGATGTTGAATGACTGTTTTATTAGGAGATGCTTCCACCTAAACCTCCGTGCCGACTGCGAGCCTTGGGCCTCTTCTTGAGGACGTCTGTTTCCACGCAGACCTCCCATCAGGCTCAGCGTTCTCTACTTTCTCTTCTGAGTCTAGACCTGCGTCTTGGCCTCAGTGCCACAGTGTGAGGGAGGTCATGCACGCCCAGGTGGGACTCCCACTCTCCGTTTGTGGGAGAGCAGCCCTTGGGAAGAAGGGAACGGGATGATCTGACCGCATTTGTACTTTTCTGGCCCTGGGGGGAAGGAGAGCGAGGCAGAGTTGGAGAAGAAGCCCCACTCGGAGCTGGCCTCTTCTGTGGTGCTCCGCCCAGGTGGGCTTCTTACCCCTCCAGAGGAACACATTTTACTCCTGTAACACTCATCCTGTGTGTCTCTTCTGAGCAGAAGCCCAAGAACTTTCTTGGCTCTAGTACTGGCGCAGAAGGCTCTTCATCACTATCCCCGCCCCAGCATCCCTCAACCAGCAGCTGGTATCAGATGGTGGCCAACTACCCAGCTACCTTCCTGGGCAGGTGGGGCCACCTTCGGTGTGTTCTCTGCTGCCCTGCAGAGCTCCCAGGGGGCCCAGTCTCAGTTGTCCACCGTGGGGCCCTTGTCAGCAGTGGCTCCTTCGATTGGCTTTCCTTCCCCACTTTCCTCCTGGTGCACTCTGGGGTGGCCTCCCACTTGAGGCCTCTAGCAATTATGTCCTTGTCTGCGGAATTCCACCTAAGAGTTGCAGCTAACCAGATGCATGGTTCGCAATCTAGATTTGGCTCATCAGGGACCCCTGAGAATGAGGACTAATTCACCAAAGGACTTGGGAATGTGGCACAGTAGAATATGGTGTAATAGACAGTTGGTAGAATAACAAATTACCCAGACCAGGGTCAAACCTTCAAACTGGTGGCCTTAGAATTACTGGAGCCAACCCATGCAGAATGAGGGGTGGCATTTAGCAGGCAGGGTGAGGAGAACAGGGTAGAATATTCACTGCTGGCCAGGTTGAACTAGCAAGCGTGCCTCACAGATCGAGGGAATCTGGAGCCTAAGCCATCTCTGGAAGTTCTTTCATGTTGAAGAATGAATTTTGTGAGAGGGTCCTCTCTCTTTCTCTGCCTCTCTCTCTACCTCTCTCTGATATCTTAAGTGTTTCACAGAGGAAAACCATGCCCCAGGTCTACACACGTCTACAAACTCTCTTTAAAATAGATGCTTTTTTGGGGGCTTGCCAATTTGTTCTTCTGTTTGGTTTTTATTTGGGAGTTTCTTGTTTTCTATTATTTGTTTTTGATCTCTCCCTTAGGGGAAGGTAGTACTCTCTGGGCTTTTATTGTCATAGGAACATTTCAATTGAGTTTCTACTTATTTAGGGGCTTGGGTTTGAGGTTTTTATTATTGGGGAAAAATAAGTAAATCCTATGGGATCATGAAAGTGAGGTTTCTAGTTTGGTTTACCTTTTTGAAGATTAATTTGCTTTCTTTTAAAAGTCTATGCAGTGGATCACTGATACGGGTTTATTGTATCATATTCATTAAACCATAAAGAGGTAACGGGCTTAATATCAAGGCTCAGTATGCATATCGCCTCAGGTGTTAGGAAGTCTTTCCGGTGTAGATGAGAGCACCTGCCCTAGGCTTGGGATTCATTTGTGAATCCAGCAGATCTCATCCTGGACCTCTTGTTCCAAGGGGGCAGGAACACAGAGTAAACACAGCAAGACATGCAGAGCGCCTGATCGTGTATGTGTCATGTGCAAAGGACACAACCAGCAGGATCTGAAGTGTGGGAGTGCCGGCACCGAGGGTGTGTGTGCACGCGAGTGTAGTGGGATGGGGCGAGATGTAAGGGAAGACCCAGAAGAGGGAGAGTGTTTTGGATACAGTGAAAGGAGGGAGCCGTGTCAGGTCGAAGGTCTTTAAGCTTATACCCTATTGAGAGGAAACGCCCAGCCTACCAGGGGTTTTCGAACTGTGGGTGCATCAGGACCACCTGGGAGGGTGCTGGAGTTTGGGTCACGGGGTCTCCTGTGCTGCATTGAACTTGGCAAGGTGGATCTACAAACAGCTGTGAGACATGCAACGGTAGATGGTGAGTCCTGCATTGAACTTGGCAAGGTGGATCTACAAAGGGCTGTGAGCCGTGCAACGGTAGATGGTGAGTTAGACGGCTGAAGCTGCCTGGAACTCACAGGGGCGGTAAGCTGGGGATAGAGAAACAGATGACAGTTCAAGACTCAGAGCTGTGGCCGGTGCTGAAACTGCCTAGCAGCAAGCGTGGGGTGGAAAGCGTAGGTGGGCGTGGGTTCAGCACGGGTCTTGCCGATCAGATAAGTAAGGTAAGGACTCACTTACTCAACAGAGAGTTCTCGAGAGCGTGTTGGGCATTTGTTTTGAAATCTTTTCTTATTTCTTTTATGAGAGAAACAGACTCCTAACACGGCGTCACCATGCCATGATCCCCCCCAGCCTCCAGCCAGTGCGGGTTTGCCCACTGGGTTTAGAGTAACTGGCCTCTGAACCGAGGCTGCCTCCAGGGCTCTACTGACCTGCCGTGGCACCCCTTTACCTGGGCCACCAAGACTGGGCCTGTGCTGTCATTCTTTATCCTGTTTTTGTTTTTTAAGGGTATATACTCACTGGGAGAGACAGCAGCAAGGTACAATGAGATGGAAAGTGGGAAACACCCCCCCCGACACACGCACATGCACGCGCGCGCACACACACACACACACACAACACACACACACGGGGGTGGGCGTGGCCATATACACATACACAGAGGGATGCCCACACGGCAGTTCCTTCTCCTCCATTCTCCTCTCGGGATTTTGGGCATGCACGCACACTTGCCCAGTGTGATTTTCAAGCCACTGGATCCGGGACTCAGACTGTGGTCAGCCATGTGGGAATCCAGCACCTTCACAGTCTTACTTAGACTGCTTTCAGCACTGAGACTTGCAGCATTTGCATCCATTCGTTCAGTGCCTGCCTGTGTCCTTCCTTCCTCCCCAGTCTCCCTCTCTTCCTCTCCAGGCATCCTCAGTCAGCGTTGTGTTACGGAGTTGCCATAGGTCAGATGCTTCTCCCGTAGATACAGTGCTGGCAGGAGAGCTCCCTGCTGGACAGTGCGTTTGACCCTCCGCTGCCAGTTCCACCCCTTGCAGTGGTCATTCAGCATCTGTCCAGCGATTGAGAGTGTCCTAGCCCGTGAGAGAGGAGGACTTGCTTTCAACTCTGGGGAAAGATGTCCTACCTCCTACCGAGCTAAGAGAAGAGCCTCTGTTAGACGCTCATGACTTTGTGCTTGGAGGTGATGTGGGGTAACTTCTGGTTTCTCAGCCTGAGGGTCAGAGAGAGAGAGAGATGGAACCCCCACCCCCAAAGCTGCCCTACTTCTTTATTTCCTGTAGTGTCAGAGAACCCTCTCTCGGTTGGTGAAGCTGTTGGGACTAGAAGGTTCTGGGACTTGGAGTTAAAGGCATCTTATCTGATGCACTTCATTTTCTTTGCTAAGGGAGTTCATTCTCTTTCCCAAACTGTTAACATATTCCTTCATGTTTGTTTGAGCAATTTTTGCACTTTTTCTGTATGTTTTAGCGATCTAACATACTCCGATTTAGCTGCTAGAGGTAGACTTATGTTTACTAGGGAAGCCGTGGGTGGTAGGGGAGAAGGGGGATGTTAAATGAGAAACTCTGGCTATAAATATCTTTCGGTAGTGTAGGATTAATATGGCTATAATTAAGTATTCTATAATATGTCAAGAGATTTTTATTATTAAAGGAAAACTGTATGTTTAAATCATATTACAGTACTCAGTTATTCATGAGAGGTATTTTCGTAGAAACACATGCAGTTCATCATTGACCGCAAATTTATGTACTGCTTTAGCTAAATCATTTCCTGTTGTAGATGCTATTTAAAATCAGAAAAGGGAAACTTATGTGTTAAAGAAATGGAACTGACATTATATATTTCTATTCGCAGACAGCTTTGTGGCTTATGCAAAACAAGTTAAAAAACTATATGGATTGAATTTTCTCACAAAATCATCTTATCTCTGAGGGGTAGGATTGGGGTCGGCTGGAGGAGTTGGCGAGTGAGCTAGGAGGCAGGAAGTTGAGCCTGACAATGAATGGTACTCCCCGGGGCTTCAAAAGTCGGGGACCAAAATAAATTTTGTTAGGAACATTTTCGGACATCGAGAGAATTGAAAGGACAGTGCCACGGATCTCGCATCCCCGATTTACTGACCCCGTCAGCGGTTGAGTAATTATAACAGAGGACCCTCATCTCCTCTGTACTGGGGCAGTCTCCACCTGCGTGTTCGCTGAATCACTGGCCGGACGGTCACGGACCTCATGCCCTGCCTCCTTTACGGGAAACAGAAAGTGTTATAAAGGGGATGTGGCACTCTGCGTCCTTTGCCGTCGTGAAGACCCTGACGGTTCTGTGCTGGCCGTAACGTACTAAGGATGCTTTCACAGCCCGGGCTACTCGTCTGCTCCCGTCTCCCAGCCTTGGTTTATTTTTTTCATCTGAGAGTCCACCCATCCCCCTGCTGGGTACTGAGCATCCCCTCTCACTGGGCACAGCTGATCTCATGGCGACATTAGGGGAAGCCATCAGAACCTTGTGTGATGAGAGCCATGGTGCGCTGTCGTCCAGGGGATTCTTCTGGACTAAAGCGGAGCTTCACCCAGGCCGAAGGAATGAGGAGGAGTTAGCCAAGCGAGAGAAGAGGGGTGGGGTGAGGAGATGGTGGAGAGCCGGCGATGTGTGTTAAGGACAGAGAAACCCGTGTGCAGAGAAAGTGACTTAGCAATATCTCAGAAGTGTGACAGTGCCAGAGAAAGAGGAACCAGTACGTGTTAAGGGTGGGTGCCGGGACAGAGGCGGACGTGAGAGTTGTGGTAGAGTTGGACAAGGCAGGGCCGTGGGAAGCTTGGCGAGTCACCATGGACAGTGTGAACCTGCTTTCTCTGCACATGCTTCACCGCCGGGCTACTGCGCGGGCTCCAGAGTCTGCGTTTTTGAAGACAGCTTAGAAACTTGAGGTTCATGATGCATGTCACAAATCTGGTCACTTACTTATTTTGATAACCCAAGTATAGCACAGTAAAGAAGAGCAGTGGAAATGAAATGATGGACAAGGTGGCAGTTCAGGACAACTCTGACTAATACACAGAGGGCAGGCGTACCTTTTATGATCACCTTTTTCCTTAGGTTGCCCAAAACTGACGACTCTGGAGCCACATTTGTCATGTGAATTCTGGCTCTGTCACTCCCTGCTGGGGTCAACCCTTCGCTTCGTTTTCCCATGGGTAGCGTGGTGGTTTTCCATGGAGCGGGTTAGTGTAGTGCCTAGGTGTGTGTTACATTGTTGATATGTGAATAACTTTTCCTTTGTTTTTAACAGGGACCTCCGAAACAATCTTATTAGTAGTATAGACCCTGGTGCCTTTTGGGGACTGTCTTCACTAAAACGATTGTAAGTGTTTGAACTGCTTGCTTGTGCGTTTCAACTGTGCCTCCTGTAAATAGCTTTGACTTTACCATGACTAAAAAAAACAGAGACGGGGTCCTTTGTAGAGGTTCACCTGGCCAAGTGCCGGGTAGGAGGAAACCGGAGAGAATACTTAATACAAGTAGTTTAGAAAGCGGTTAATTTGCACAGCTTTCTCACCTGTTGGGTCCCTCGTATGCTAATCAGACCACTACCATGTCTGCTTTGGCAGCTAACAGAATTTGTGTACTTTTAGTTAGGAATCCACTCCAACCATGTCTGTTGTAAATAAATTGAGGTACCTTTCTATTAACGATTAGAAGTCTTGCCATTTTCATGTACATTTTATCTATTTATATCTATTTCAAGACCTACAGACGGGTTTTTATTGTTTCTGGAGCTAACCAGCTCTCCTGCCCCTAACTGCACTCTCTTCTTTTCTGTTCTTTTTTTATTTTAAGATTTTTTGCCCTAGGGCACATGTGCTCTCTAGAGAGAAACAAAGAGGGTGAAAGAAAGTGAGAAATCAGCCCTCCCCAGGTGAGGGATGGCCACGGTACAAACCCTTTGTCCTTCATGCTCCTTCTAGGGTTTTGGACACGCATGCATCCGTGCCCAGCGTGATATTTAAGCCGCCAGGTCTGGGACTCGAACCATGTGGGAGTCCAGTGCTGTCACCACTGTGATACCTGCTGGCCCCTGCTGGCACCCTTTTCACACCCGCTGTGTGAACACACCCACACTAAGAAGTGAGGACTGATTCGTCATCCTTTATTTTAATATCTTTCTGAAGATCTGTATTGGCTGCTGGGCCATTTCCCGCACTCTGACTTCTCTGGAAGAGCTTAAAGACTAGAAAGAGGGCGGTGGAAATAGCGTTGGGTGGAAAGTAATTTTCCTTTTGCCCTTTTAAGTTCATGGTGGGGACCCCTTTAAGTTCCTGTTACTGAGCGGGGTTTATGGACGTGCACACCTCCGTACACATGGCAGGGACTCAGGGATGAGTTAGGTCTTGACGAGAGGAACTGGGGCCGTGCTGCCGTTCTTACAGCCACCTTCTGCCAGGTCCCTGCCTTGTACTTGTCAGGGTCTTACTTGTTTCTTTCATTTTCTCTTTTTTCCCTCCAAGTGCCTGCATGCTTTTTACGCTTCCGTTTGTTTGTTTTCTCTGCAGTATTTATATAAAAAAGCCAACGGAGATGTCAGTTTGCCGTGCCGTGACCAAAGTGTTGACACTGACTTTTCTTTCTGATATTCTTGACATTCGTATTTATTATTCCATCACTGGAAACCTGTTTGTTTTTATTGTCAGATGCACTTGTAAGACTCAGCTATGATATTTTTGCAGTTTTTTGAAAAAATTATTACTTTTACCAGTGAAGTCATCTTTCATCTGAAAGTCATCCTTTGTAGCTCCTCCCGTCTTCCTCCCTCAGGCAGTCGGGGTCAGGATTCTGTGAAATGAGCAATAGTAAGAATTTCAGGATTCTCTCTCTGTCTTGTACAACCGTTGAACATTTTGGTCAGCGTCTGCAGTAAGGAATTTGATTGTACTGTCTCTCGGGCGTGAGGACTAGTTTGTTGAGTTTGTGAGTCTTTGTACTCAGAAGCAGCCCAGCCATGTCTAGAGATCTCACTACCGTCAGTCTTCTTTCCTCCTCATTCTGCACTTCATTGTTTCCCAGAGAAAACTTTTTAATGGAGCAAGTCAGACAGGCTAGCCTGGGGCGGGCGAGTGCTGTTGACGGAGATGGAATTCTGGATAAAGAGCAGGAGAGGGGGAGAGCTGGCATTGGCTTGCATCGGTTGCCCTGGGTCAAGCTAGGTGTAGAACTTAGTAAAAGAAGGACCAGCCAGGAATTCAGTGCCCTCACAGTGGTATGGCAGAGACCAGCCTCAGTTTAGCTTAGCTAAATCCACTGAGTCCATCCTCCAGCAGTGGGGAGCCAGGCTCCAGAGATACGAGGGTGACTCAGGAACTGCCTGAAGGTTTTGTCGTCTGGTGGAATGAGGCACACCAGCCCAGAAGCTGGCTATGGGCTTGACATCTGGGTAGAGAAAAATGAAGTGGTGGCAGAGGGATTAGCTGCCAGGACTCCTGGACTCAGTCATCCAGGTGGAGCTATGGCTATGGACCACTGCCAGAAATAGGCTGCACCTCAGAAACAGCCTTTGGGCAGTGGGGCAGGGGCACCTGCAGATATGTGCTTGCCAGAGAGACAAAGAGAAAAAGAGAAAAATCACCTCCCCCTTGGGGAGGGGCTGGCCATGCTTTAATCCCTTCTTCATTTTCCTCTTGAGATTTTGGGCATGCATGCACATGTGCCCAGAGTGATTCTCAAGCCACTGGTCCAGGACTTGAACTGTGGTCAGCCACGAGGGAGTCCAGCCACTTTAACCACCATGCCACCTGCCAACCCCTGTTCGGTAGCTTTGTTTTAGAGAGAGAGATTTTTGCTGTTAGGGCACATGTGCCCACTGGAGAAACACAGACAGCGAGAAATCACCTCTGGGATGCGGCCACTGCTGTCCTGTCTCCTCCTTCTCTCGAGATTTTGGGCATGCACGCAGTTGCACCTGGCCTGAGCTGCAAGCCACTGGGTCCGGAACTCAGACTGCGTTCAGCCACATGGAGTCTAGCGCCTTCACCACTCTGCGCCCTGCTGACCCCGCTCTTCAGCAGCTTTTACTTTAATCACCAGTATGGAACCAGGCACTGCCTTAGCGTTGTGAGAATGGGAAGAGCATTGCCCATTAAGTAGTCTCTTGTATTCTTGCCTCCAAAGGTAATTGCCATTTGTCATGTTCTTTCCCCTAGAAAACACAGTCTTAATTCCAAACAACAGACTCGTAATTGAACGTATGATACAGAATTTGCACGCGGAAGGAGTCCTGTCTGTTAACGCAAGGGATATAAGGATTCTCTGCAGAGTGGTGTCTGCTGGTTGCTTGTAGACGCGGGCCCTTCTGCTTAGGGAGTCTTCAGTCAGTCCTTTGTTCATGTCCCTCCACAGCCATGCATCCCGTGTGTGTGTGCACACGCATGTATGTGCATGTATGTACGTGCACGTATACGTGTATACGCACACGTGTATGCATATGTGTATATGTATGTATGTGTGTGTGCATGTATCTGTGTGTGCGTATGTATGTGTGTGTTTGTGTGTGTGCCTGTATGTGTATGCATATGTGTGTGCATGTGTATGTGTGTATATGCATGAATCTGTGTGTGCTTGTGTGTGTGTGTGCGTATGTAAGTGTGTGTGTTTGTGTGTATGCTATGCCTTTGCCTCTCGTTTATTGAGCATTTTCATCAGAAGGATTAAGTGGCTTTCTGGAAATAAACCAGTAGGTAAAACTGAGACCCAGTCAGTTTCTCTCGCTTTATCAACACATTCAAGCTGATTTCTGATCCAAATGCAAACTGATTATCAATACCTAAATATAGTTTTAAGTAGGTCTCGCTGTAAGGAAATTGTTTCCGAGAGGATCAATGGTAATTATACCACTTACAGCTCTGAACTGAGACAAGATAATGAATAGAACCCAGAAATGCATGTTTAAACAACAGCTCACACGATGCCTCATTTCCTTGAACAGTAAAACCCAGAAATAAAAGGGAAATCAGCTAGGATAAAAAAATAGTCCCATGCAATTAAATATTTAGCTTTAATATTCTGAGGAGCTGGAGCACTGAACAGCATGCGCAGATAAAGTTTCGACTGCTTAAGACTCTTTTATCTGAAATTGCTATAAAGAGAGGGAGACAGAGCAGTGAAGTTACTGAACGTACCAGATTACCCGAGGTGGCTTCTGAATTATCCAAGGGAAAAACACAATGAGAAGGTGCCTGACCCAGAGGCTCTGTCCTTAATAATTTCCAGTCAGACTGATACATTTTCTTGCATTACCAAAGGTACAGCTTGGAGCTCAGAAGTTTTAGTTTGGAAATGGGAGGTACAAATTGCTTTTCTAGAGAACACATCTAAGTGTGTAATTCAAAGACCGTGTACATCCCCGTGTTAGAATAATGATGTACAGTAAAGAGAATGCGATAACAACACATTTCAAAGTTTGCTTTGGAGCGCTTACTTTAATTCTTTTATTGAAATTCAAAGTGTGATTCATTATTTCGAATCTAATGGCTTATAAAAATAAAGATACTTTCTTTTAAGGTTTCCTTGTGCAGAGTTTGTTAAGCTGCCTAATGACCCATGATGAGAGACCTGCCGGCCCAGAAGAAAGTTACAGAAATTGTCAGGTGTTACCTCCCAACCTAAAGTTTTCACTTTTAAACCAGTGCAGGTCTCTGAGGAAGTGTGAAAATAAAATCGCATTCATTGTCCTTGTTGTAAATCGAAATAAGAAAGATGGAAAAGAATATTAAGTAAAAAAATTTGACATAGGTATAAAGGAAAATGTTTCATAGTTTATGAGGACCAAAAAGAAAGATTTACAAAGTAACATTTGGGGCCAGCCTGGGAGCTGGTGCCCAAGGTGACAGGATCCCACGTGGCTCTCTGCACCGTAGGCCATGGGCCCAGCAGTTTGAAAGTCACTCAGGTTCCTGTGCACATGTGCCCCAATTCCAGAAGGATGGAGAAGTGGAGGAGAAGGAATTGCACAGTGACCATTCCCTTGGGTCATGATTTCTCACTGTCTCTCCCTCTCTCTGTCTCTTTCTGGCATGCTTTTTTCTAGCAAAAACTGGAAAAAAAAAAAACAAGGGAGCCATTCGAGGGCTGGCACTGTAGCTCAGAAGTAAAAGGATCCAGATCCCACATGGCTGGCTGTCGTTCAAATCCTGGCCTTGGTGACTCAAAAAATATTTGGCCGTGTGTGTGTGTGTGTGTGTGTGTGTGTGTGTGTGTGCATGCCCTAAATCTTACTGGTTGGAGAGATGGAGGAGAAAGGATCGTGGCACAGGTACACCCTAATTGGGGAGTTCTCTCTCATGATCTTATGTGCTCTCTGGCAATTAAACATTTGATACTAAAAAATAATTGGGCCATTACCTAGAAATTGTTAAAATAAGTTTTCTTAGAGATGGATAAACCTGTAACTTAAAGCTAGCTCAGTTTTTTCATTGCAGTCAAACCTGCAACTTTAAGGAATGAATTTATAGTAATAAGTGTTAAGTTTCACAAGTTCTTGAGGAAATACATGTCCCACCGTTTCAAGAACGTGGCCCTTTGTCTGCTGTCGGCTGGCTCAGGTTGAGTTTAGCTCTCCAGCTGTCCCAGCGTAACCACGCAGGTCACCTAAGGAATCATGCTGCGGACAGAAAGATCGAGTAATTCTGCAGGAGCAAATGCTGCCAGCGTGGGGCAGTCCTCAGTCTGCGTGGCGTCACTGAGAGCGAGGATCACGTTCCCTCTTGGTGCTGTTCTGACCTCACTTGGGCTGTGCCAGCGTGACTCAGTGATGCTGGGATGCACGATCTCGTAGGATACCTGGGGCTTGTTCTTGATTACTGAATTTTTGAGAACCTCGTTAACCAAGAAAACTAACTGAGGCACTTTCCCCCTCTTCTCCTAGGGACTTGACGAACAACCGAATAGGATGTCTCAATGCAGACATATTTCGAGGACTCACAAACCTGGTCAGGCTGTAAGTACGTCTTCCATTTCCTAGTATGAACACCTGTTGAGTCAATTGGAAATAAGGTTGATTACCTGTAATAAACCAGCCAGGCTTAGAACTGAGCCCTATGAGGAAGCCACTGAAGGACCAGAGTGACACAAAATAGTGTTCCGGAGGTGAGCAGCCAGGAGCCAGATGCAGCATGGTTTGCTGGACTTGGGGTAGAAGCTCTAGAAGAGAGTCGGGTACTCTGGGTTCTCTCTCCTTGGAGCTTTTTAAGAATGTTTAAGCTGGCAGGTGGCGTGGTGGTTAAAGTGCCGGACCCCCTCGTGGCTGAGCATGGTTTGAGTCCCAGATCTAGTGGCTTCCTTTCTCATTTTTGCTCTCCCTCTCTCTCAGTCTCTCCAGTGAGCTCACATGCCTTATAAAAATTGAAAAATAATAATAATGATAAAATTAAATAATTCCATTTCTTTTTTTTTTTTAAAGAAATTTTCTTATTCAAATTAACTTTGGAAAAGCAATTGGGGTTTAAGTAGTGATATAATTTCACCTAATAGTAAGGGAGGGGTCCTCAGATCATTCATCAGAGTGGAATAGAGTACTCCAGTTTCTTGGTTAGAAAAAATGTGCTCTTGGGAACCAGCAGTTAGCGTAATGGCTATGTCGCTGGACTCCCACGTAGTCGACCGCTGTTCACGTCCCAGACCCAGTGGCTTAAAACTCACGCCGGGCGCGTGTGCGTGCATGCCCAAGATCTTGAGAGGAGAATGGAGGAGAAGGGATTGTGGCGTGACCATCCCCCCTAGGGGGTGATTCTGTCTCTATGTCTCTCTGTCTCTCTGGCGAGCGCTCGCGCCCTATAGCGAAAACCTCTCCCCCCCCTAAAAGAAATGTGCTCTTCAATTTGGGAAGAAAGATATCCTCTAATTTATGTTTTTAAGTGGAAATGAGATTTGATATATAGCTTTATTCCTTCCTTGAAATTGTTTAAATTAATTGCATTTTAATTCTTTAGTAGCTGGATTGCAAATATTTTTTATTTTAGCGCTTTTATTATTTTTTGAGATTTTTGTATTTATAGTTTTAAAGTCTACATTGGAAATGGCAAAATTAACCTTTATGAAGGAGATTTTTGTTGTGTTGATATTCTTAGAAAGCTCTGATTCCAGTAGCAGAGAAGTGTCTGGAGTCTACTCTTTGGTTGATTTTAGTTTCAGGTCAGTTTCTCACGTTGGCCGAGGGATTTGACCCATCAGCAAGATGTTTTCTAGGTCAAAGAGCTGGGTGGAACAGCTTCTGCCTTTCCTCCACCTCTTTTTACTAGTTCCTTCTCTTCTTGCCTCAGAAGCTACATTTTTTGGAAGTTTTAGGACGTAGGTCATCTCTTACTATTGACCAATGATCTCGTACCTGTCGTGAGAATTTATTGGTCATGAAACACTGTGGGTAGTTATCCTAGTGAACGGTTGAAACATCAAAGTCGTTAAAATACTGCCGAGCTTCCTGTGTTGAGGTTCGATTGCATTGCTTGTGTAGCCCACGTGAAAATAAATGATTGTGACCCTTTTAAAGGGAGCAGTCTATGGCATATATAAAAATGTGCCTGCTTTTATCCCATAAGTAGATTTGAAAGGAAAAACTAGCCACCGAGGTAGCTTCTTAATATGTAGGAATGTGCGGGGGCCAGCTGCTCTCCACTAATCTGGGCTGACACAGATCAAGAGCTATGAATCAGGAAACTGGATTTAAGTGTTCTCAGGGCTGCTGCAGTCCCAGATTTCTAGCTCTGTGAGCCAGACTGTCGGCTGGTTGTGAAGCTGACAACAATTTCTATTTCAGATGTGCTGGACAGTGTTTTCGCAGTTCAGCAAGGGGAAAAATCTGATTAGTAATAGGGTATGTAGGCCTTTTGTCACGTTAGGAATCAGAGGGCTCCCTTTCATTGTCTTCTACCCAAAAGAGAGACACGTAAAGAAGTGAGTCTGGAGTGGATTGCTGTTCTAGCTGTTTCCTCAGCCAGCTCTTCAGCTGCCCTCTCCGGGTTGCCTTGGAACTTGGACCTCAGACTGATGGGGCTTTTCAGCCAAGGAGGCTGGAATCCAAGACCCCCTCAGGCCCTTGATGAGACCTTGGCAGACAGTCTGTGCTGTTCTTGCCCAGACTTCTCATCATTTTTAAACAAGCCTTGGCTTTGGAGGTTTAGGTTAAGAATTGGGAAATGACTTTTAAGTGGATGTGGGTGGGGTTGGGAGTGTAAAATTGATTAGTTCTGTGTATAAATCTCTGCTTTTGCTAGGAGAGAAGTTCTCTTGAACTCTTCCAGAGCATTGTAGCTGTGTGCCTTGCCGTTGCCACACCTACTACACTGTAACCATGAAAGTCAACGCAAATGAGAGAGGAGGAGTGAATAGTGCAGTGGACCCTAACCTTTTTGGCGTCAGGGACCAGTTTCGTGGAAGATCATTTTCCACAGAACTCGAGGAGAGGGATGGCTTGGGGTTGATTCAAGCACATTACATTTATTCTGCAATTTTGTGTATATTATTATTATGTCGTAATAGATAATGAAATAATTACACAAATCGCCGTGATTCAACATTTGCAGCTGCTCCCCAGTGCTAGCATCACTGCCTCAGCTCCACCTCGGGTCATCAGGCATTATATTCTCACAGGGAGCACACAAGGAGATCCCTTGCATGTGCAGTTGACCGCAGGGTTTGTGCTCAGGTGAGAGTCTATTCCATTAGTAATGCGAGCAATGGGGAGTGGCTGTAAATCCAGGTGAAGTTTTGCCCAGTTCCTAGCAGGCCACAGACCGATACCAGTCCACGACCCAGGGTGTTGTGGACCCCTGCAATACCAGACTTATTTCACGTCTCTGTCCTTCACTTAGAAAGTTAATTTGTAGAGTAATTGTCAGGAAGCTTTGCTTTTTTTTTTCTTTTATTCAATGAATTAGGATAAATTTAAAGCCTTCCTTTCTCCCCAAAGAATCATGTCTTTAATATTTATGTATCAGAAATGAGTAATACTTACAAGAACTTCCCTCGTATAGTTTTCTTGACACACAAAATTCATGAATATGTAAAAAGTTGTATAAAAATCTCCCTTCATACAAGCAAATTATGGATATTATTGAGTAGTAAGACCACATGTAGAAATTAAGGAAAAACTAACCCCTCTCCATATCTTCAGTGACATCAGTGTGAGGTAGCTAGTATTGATGATCTGATGTGAATATTGCCTGTTGCCCTCACAAATGGATAGGCACACATATAGGACTTTAAAAACACCTGTACTTGGTAACTTGCTTTCTTTAAAAAAAAATCACTAGCATATTATTAGTATCTTCAAAATATATATATTTTAAAGTGATATACTTAAAATAATATACTTTTCTGTCACTTATTTATTTGAAGTTCATTGATTTTTTTCGCGAGAGAGAAAGAAAGAGGACAGACAAGCATTCTCAGCAAGACGGGCGTTCTCCGCAGGGTCTCCTGCCACAACCCCCAGCCTTTCCAGCTGTCGGGATCACGGGCAGGTGTGCCCAGCACCTGCCAGGTGTCCGGGAACTGGGTCCACCTTCTCCCCCGTGGACTCACCATCACTTGAGCAACATGCGACTGCAGTGCCACTGAGCCGGCCTGTCCTTTTCCTTTGTTTCTAAAATCGCAATCCTTGCTATTTTATAATTTTTTATTTGCTGCTTTTTGAAATGAGACAGAGCACATCCCTGGAGTCACTCTAATGGAAATACAGGACACTAGCTTTTAGGTTCCGCTGATACTTGTTTGACAAATTCTTGTCTTTAAGATCATAGGAAAAGTCATGTCGAATTTTTCTGAGTTTCTATGCAAAAATGAGTCATGATTTTTATGACGACTCAGTAGCATTAACATATTTTTAAAAATTGTGTTTACTACTTTGTATGAGGTTCATAATGATTTTTTTCTTTAACCTTGGGGGAAACACTGACTGGTTGCTCCCTTTTCATGTGAGTTAAGACAAGTTGCGTGAATTCCTTGTACCCTTACTGAGTGATTATAGGTCACTGTGACATGGCAATTGATGTATCACTGTTAAGTGTGTTTCAAAGTGAAATGATTGTTTTCTTTTTCAGAAATCTTTCAGGGAATTTGTTTTCTTCATTATCTCAAGGCACTTTCGATTATCTTGGCTCCTTACGGTCTTTGTAAGTAAGAATTTTTTCTATTTTGATAATCTTCGCTTTTGAAAATGAACGTCATTTATTTTGTGATTGTAGAGATTTCATGAGGAAGATCTTAGAAATTTGCAAAAGAATTAGAATCTCACACTGGAACTTGCATTCACATTGGAAAACAAAGTTCAACCGTAATCACATGTCCTGACCTGACAGTTGTTTTCTCAGACTGCCACCACCCGTTTCACTCCGGTCTAGTCTGAGTAGAGATACGGACAGTTGTTTCTCTTTGACTTTGTTTTCAGTGAAGAAAATGCTTTGTTGTCTGACTAATTAAATCCCCAAAGTATAAAATATTTCTCCCAAAGAGGAATTTGTAGTTCAGGATATTTTATAGGTCAGGGATTTAATTTTATCCTGTAAGTCCTGTTCCAAACTGAATTCACATCTTACTACTGATATTTCTAAAGATGTTGATTTAGAATGTCTGCTTTATGGAATTGGTGCAAGATCTTATTTGCACAGTTCTCTGTAGCTTTAGAATCAGTGTAATTTTGTTTTCTTTTCTTTATCAGACATAGTTTTATTAACTATAAAGACTTGCATAGGAGTTACTTTGGAAAGTAACTGTATTTCCACATCAACCTTAATGTATCTCAAACTACAAGTCACAGGGATTTCTATGTAATTTATATTGATGGTTAATGAAATGTGTTTCAGAGTTTCATTGTTTGTAATTTATTGGATTGAGTGTCGTGTTCCTTGGGAATGTGTACGTTCTGATGGATCCGTCTGCTCTGTGTATGCTGGCTTGTAACCCTGTTATTTACATCTCTGGAATTTTCACTGGGATGTAGCTAACAGGTTAGACTCCCCTCGCCGTCAGCGGGCACGTGTGTGTATTCTGGAGCCACCTGGATCAGACTGCACCTCCTCTCCATTCGGTTGCCACTACCGTCCCAATCCGGAGTTCTGCTTTTGAGTGGAAGCAGCTCTTAGCACACTTAGTGGGCTCAAGTTAAGCATATCTGTGAAGTTTAAGAAATAAAAAGGTTGCAACGGGCACAAGGCGTCCAAGATCCTACATAGCAAGAATGTAGGAAGTATTTTCATCTTAAAAATGGGGGAAAAATGCCATTGATTTTACTTGGTGCAGCTGGGTCCTGACTGGAAAGAGAGGCTTAGGAATTAGAAATCTGTCAGTCATCCTTCTGGTATTGTTCTTTGTTTTCTCGTTTATTTTCTTTACTGTGTCTTTTCAGATTTCTCTTCTCCTTTCTCTTCCCTCTCCATTTCTCTTTTCCCTCCCCGCCTCTTACCCTTCCTCTGCCTTTCCTTTTTTTGTTTTTCCAAAAACTATTTAGTAGTTCCGATCTGTGTTAGAAGCATGCACCCCTAGGCTGCTGCTTTGTACTTCTTCGTTTGTTTTCATAGAACGTGCTGCGTTCTGCTTTCGTTCTGTGCGTGTTGGGTTCTTCCTGTTACATAACGTCCTCCACGTTGGCAGGGGACAGTAGCTCCCATTCATTCCGATTGCCTGGACCTCGCGTGTCTGTGTGGCACGTGAGTCGTCACTGCTGTTGGAGTACTTGCAGATTGTGCTTCCCTCCTCGTTTCTTACGTCCTTTCCTTGTTTCTCACCTTCCGGGGCCACATTATAAATCCCTGTGCCGAATCACAAAGCTTCCTGCCTTGTATTGAGACACTTCTCTAGTTTATATCGAGTAAGAGGGATTCTTTGTTTTTTGTTTTACACTTTTTGATTTGTTCAGTCTGTATCCCATACGTTTGTAATTATCTGTGGTGCGTTTTCCCTTAGGTTTGTAAATATGGAGAGTGACACTTGGTGCAGAAATGTGTCAGAAGTAGCCCCCACCCTGAGGAAGCCTGCAGTCTAACCAGTTATAGGATATAACCATGTAAAACAGTCCTAAATTGTTTCATATTGCTATTTCCCTGTCGAAATCAGTAGGACGGCTGGTAGACATTTTGGCCAAAAACATGGTGGTGCTGCTTACAAATTGGGGAGAGCTACAAAATCTATTAATGCCACGAGCCTTACAGTAAATGGGTAGAAGCTTGGTAGACAAGAAGGATGTGGATTTGTATTCCAGACCCCTGGGTGAAGGAGCTTTTTGCATGGGAGAGGGATATTTAACTGATAGTTTCGTTTGCATGTCAACGTTGATAGAACACTGGATCAGGAGGGAGGCAGTGTTGGAGTCCAGCACTCTGTAAGGCAGGTCATTGGAAAGGAACCCACCGCTAGTCGATGGTGTGTGCCAGAGCGTGGTTGGGACTGTCGCGTAGCACGCGTGTCACCGAAGCATAACCAGCGTGCCACAGACGTGTCGTTTGTGTTTATTCGGCGTGACCTGCTGTGTTACAGGGAATTTCAGACCGAGTATCTGCTGTGTGATTGCAACATCCTGTGGATGCACCGCTGGGTGAGGGAGAGGAACATCACTGTGCGGGACACCAGGTGCGTCTACCCCAGGTCCCTGCAGGCCCAGCCAGTCACGGGCGTGAAGCAGGAGCTGCTGACGTGCGGTAAGGGAGAAAGAAGAACTGGGGAAGTGGTCGCCGTGTTTTTCTCGACAAACTGTATACTTGTCTTTACGTTGGGATGGACTCGAAGTACCGTTACCGTCTGCATGGGTTTGATGATACAGTATTTAGTGTATACTGACTTTATTAGTTAAGTTCGCTGAGTAAAAAGCATTCTTTTTCTGTTGTTTCCATTGGTCTTCAGGATGGCTGTTCCAGTTCCAAAGAGTGGTGTAGAGTTCCTCAGCCTTCCTGTGACTTGGCTGATCAGGAAGTTGTTGGTAGCGATAACATCTCAGGATACACGCCTATTGTTTGTTGGTGACAGTCTGGACTCTTACGGGAGTTTGGGAATACAGCTCAGCAGAGTGTAGGAGCTCTTAAAATATTGACACTGTTGGATCAACATAGTTTTAAAAAATATTTGTTATTATTTTTAAAATTTGCTGTAGGACACATGTGCTCCCCAGAGAGAGATGGAGAGATAGAGAGATATAGAGACAGAGAGAGAGAGAAAATGAGAACATAAACCACCAGGTTCAGGACTCAAACCATGGTAGGCCACATGGGAGTCCACCACCTTAATCACCACACCTATATCTTGATCAGCATCTTCAATGATCAGCTCTGTGTAAATTTTCTGACTTATGTGTAAGTGATTCTTACATTTTTGGAAATAGGGGGTTGGTTTAATTAATTGTGACATATCCATTCATTGAATTAGTATGCAGCTATTGCAAAATCATGGTTTGAAGAATAGCTGGAGAAATGAAGGAAATAATACATTTATCATGTGTTAAATGTAAAACGAAATAAAACAAACTTACAAATTGAAAATAATCCTTAAAATCATAGAGGGAGAGGGCCCGCTGGTGGCGTAGTGGTTAAGATGCTAGACTCCCAACATGGCCGACTATGGTTCGAACCCCAGACCTAGTGGTTTCAAAGTTATCCCGGGCACATGTGCATGTGTGCCTAAAATCCCAAGGGCAGAGCAAAGAAGGAATTGCAACTTGGCAGTACCCCCCGGGGGTTTATTTCTCACTTTCCTTCCCTCTGTCACTCTCTTTTGGGTGAGTACATAAGCCCTATTACTAAAACTTTTAAAAAACAGTTATAATAGACAGAGATCCTAGTTTAATATTTGTGTTTGGAAATAAACCATTCTGTCATATTTTTTCCCTTTTCTTTTTATGTAATTTTATTGTTTCATGGTAAAATATGCCTATTCAGTGAAAATTAAAATTTATAAAAAGAAACTTTCAAGAAATTTAAGAAAAGCAAGAACCAAACTTCATGTTTGCATTGTTATCACTAAAGATAATGTTAAAACCTTGATATATCATATTTTCCATCTTTTTCTTATATTTTTACAAAAATATAATCACACTTTAATGATATTTTGAAGTCTATTTAAGTTGAAATAGTATAAGCTGCTTCCATTTGATGTAAAAATAGATGCTTACCAATCCATTGCATAGATGTAGCCATAATTTAACAACATATTGCTGCATATTTAGCTTGTTAATAATTTCTTACTTTATAAATAATGCAGTGATTATTTTTTGTATATATTTTTGCATATTTGCTATTATTCTGTAGGATACACTGCTATTTACTAAAAGTAGAATTATGTTAGACAAAAGGACTAAATATTCTAAAATCTTTAAATGAGCTGATATTTATGTATAGTTTTACACTTATCCCTGGAAGGAAATATATCCTCTTTTAGAAAATGGCTGTACATGGCCTTGCAGGTGGGGTGATGGTTATGGGCACCGGACACCCACATAGCCGGTTGCAGTTCGAGTCCCAGACCTGGCAGCTTGCTTTTTCACTTTCTCTCTCTCTCACTCTTGCTCTGTTCCTAAAAGTAAATAAACAAATAAAGTTAAATAAAATTATTCTTAAAAAAAGCTAAAAAAGAAAATGACTTGTACTGTGTGGAATCTTTAAGAGTTTTGTCTTTATTTTTCTCCTTCAGTGTTCTAAATTTTCTGAGATAAACACGCATTCCTTTTACAACTAGAAACTAGTATTTTAATCAAATGTAGCATCTCCAAAATGTATTTTAAGATCGTAAATATCAACATGTACTTATCACCAATTCCACTTTCTAGATCTAAATGCTGTTTTATAGCTGTTTTATTTATTTTTTAAGGGAGATTTTTTTTGCTATTGACATGTATGCTCAACAGACAGAGATAGAGAGACAGAAAGCGAGACTTCACCCCACAGGGGGTGTGGTCACACTGCAATCCCTTCTCCTTCTTTCTTCTCTCGGGATCATGGGCACATAAGCATATTTCCTTGGCGTGGGTTATAAGCCACCAGGTTGGGGACTTAAACCATGGTCGACTCCATGGGAGTCTAATGGCATGACCATTATGCCATCTGCTGGTCCCATACCTGTTTTCTGTTTTAGTTTCCTTCTGTAATCATCTGATCGTCTTACGATACCATCCAGAAGGAATAACTCTTAATGTCATAATGGACCACGTGAGGGTTTTATTACATTTTATTTCACTTTATTTTTATCTGTGACTTACTTAGTAGAGCCTCGTTGGTATCATCAGCATTAAAATGCTAAGGAATATTTGCTTTCCTGTTTGTATCATTTTCCGTAGAGTTTCCATAAACTCACAGCGATGGTGAGCCCCATTGCCTCTCTGCTCACTGAGTGTTGTCCCACCCGCTCTAGATCCTCCCCTGGAGTTGCCATCCTTCTACATGAGCCCCTCGCACCGTAGTTTCTATAAACTTTGACGGCGAGCCCCATTGCCTCTCCGCTCATTGAGTGTTGCCCCACCCGCTCTAGATCCTCCCCTGGAGTTGCCGTCCTTCTACATGAGCCCGTCGCACCGTCAGGTCGTGTTCGAAGGCGACAGCCTGCCCTTCCAGTGCATGGCCTCCTACATCGACCAGGACATGCAGGTGTTATGGTACCAGGACGGGCGCATCGTGGACACCGACGAGTCGCAGGGCATCTTCGTGGAGAAGAACATGATTCACAACTGCTCGCTGATTGCGAGGTACGCTGCTCTGCGTGTCTGTGGGTTTCATTCCTCCTTTGGGAGTTGTAATGCCCCGTTGGGATGTGACCTCATCCTGCCTTGTATTTGGAAGTGCAAACAGCTAGCACTCCTTCCTGAATTAGCGTTTGTAGTTTTCTTAAAAGTTGAAACTGGCGACCTTTTTCCTTAAATCTTCAAATCTGCTGTCTTAAATGTTCCTGTAAATTTTATTCTTGCGATTCCTTTTAGGTATTGAAAGTATAGTCGATGCTTCAACAGCACGGAGGTTAGAAGGGCTGAACCCACATATGCAGTCAAAAATCCACATATAATCTTGACTTTCCCCAAATTGAACTATAATACTAATAGCCTATGGTTGACTGGAAGCCTTACCGATAACAGGAACAGTGTACTAACATATATTTTGTATGCTGTGTGTGTTTTATATACTGTATTCTCATAATAACCTAAGCTAGTGAGAAGAAAGTGTTATTGACATGATAAGGAAGAGAAAATAAATATACAGTACTATATTTTCCAGTATATTTATTGAAGAGTTCTGAAGTATGCTAAAGGTGCTCTTTCTTTTTTATAAGATTTTTTTCTATAGAGTGTGTTTGCTCTGACTGGAGAGCGACAGTGAGGGAAAAGTAAAATCACCCCCCAGGAAGATGGCCATGCCACAATCCCCTCTCGTCCATTCTCCTCCTGGGATTTTTGGACACTTACATACACACACCTGGTGTGATTTTTCAAATGAACCACCAGGTCCAGGACTCAAACCACGGTCAGCCATGTGAGAGTCCATCACCTTAACCATCACTCCACCTGCTGGCCCCTATATAAGGCTTTGAGAGAAGTTTAATGACACTGCCTTTGTTGGAGAATGCTCAGCTACCAGCTTCAGGTAGTTTGTGGGATCGGCTTTAGATCCTGTCACTCGGTTTGATTAATTTCGTAACACCCAATAGATATGCACATCCCTTAGGCGTCGCTGTAGTTACCTGAAGTAAAAAAAAAAAGAAAATTTCAAATTGTGTGTGTGTGTGTATGTGTGCGCGCGCATGTGCGTGTTTAATGGCTGCTAAATTATGGAGAAATAGGTACGTAATTCTGGGGTTAATTTCAGTAGTTGGGACCACTGTTTGTATTCTGGGGGGCTAGGAGCATCGTGAAAAATTTTTCTAGTCAGTAAAGGCTCTGTAAACTGGAAAAGTTTAAGAACTGCCAGATTAAAGAATGTGTTTCACTACCAAAATTGTTTATATACTTATTAGTTCCATAAAGACTTACGAAGTAGAATGTTTGGCAAACTTTCCGGTTATTTAAATTTAACGTTGAACTATTACTGTATCACTTTGTCTTGAAAATATTTATTAGGGTGTAGTGATTTATTTTCCTAACACAATTAGTTGAATTAATAAACATGTTCATTGATGATTCAGAATATAAAAGTGCTTCAAAGTCTATTAGAACATTTGTTGTTGCAATCAATGATTTAGGAGACCGGACAACTGTGTATTAACTTTGAGACATCATTTCAGAAGTTAATTAAAATGTAACGTGTTTTATGTCGAATTGCTTCTTGTCATTTGTGACTACATAACCACAAAGCATAATGGGCCATAAGGTGGGGGAGGGGTCAAGGTTAATTGAAGATTCTCATTTGCTCTTTAAACAGATTTTATGTCGAAGAATTATGATTTCATCCTGAAAACTGTATTTACTGACAACTATTTAGAAATACAGTTGTTTTATAAATTGAAATGCACCTTCCTAGGGATAAAACCTCAGTGATAAAACCATTCATTGGTAATTTACTAAATCTTTTTAGAGATTGAACTAATTGTTTCTAATTTAACTCTTCAATAAAATATTTTACCTTAAATATTTTCTTAATTATATATTTCATAATAGTATTCTCCTTTTTTTGTGCTTGAATATTTTCCTTAAATCTGTGAGAAGGTCGATGTGACTTGGTGAGGAATATATGTGTCAGCCCTGTAGCGTAGTGGTTAAGTGCTGTCTAGGGTCCCAGATTCCACGCAGCTGAGGATGGTTCAAATCCTGGCCCCAGCAGCTTGGAAAACACTCAGGTATGTGTGCATGTATGCTCAGAATCCCAACAGGGTAGAGAAATAGAGGAGAAGGAATTTGGCTTAGCCCACTACATTGGCAGGATCTCTCTCTCTCTCTCTCTTTCTCTCTCTCTCTCTGGCAATTAAAAAAAGAATGTACCATGAAGTTTCTGCCATTGGACCTGCCATGTTTAGCTTTTCGTATTGGGATAACTGTATTTTAAGAATCCCTTTCCTTTCCTGCCAGGACTGGCCAGTGATAGACTTAAAGGAGAGGCTCCTTTTTTCCTTTTTAAAAAATGTTATAATTGGCTGTTCCTACCGCATGTGCTCACTGGAGAGGGAAAAGAGAGAAGTGAGAAAGTCCCCCTCGAGGCACGGTCACACCACAATTCCTTCTCCTCTGTTTCTGCTTCCAGGATTTGGGGCGCACACACACACGTGCTTTGTGTGTTCTTCAGGCTGCTCCTTTGAACCATGCAGTGAGCCACGCGTGAGCCACCTTAACCACCAGGCCGCTGGCTGGCCCAGACGGGCCGTTTTTAACTTCCTTCTGGTCTAGCAGCACAATGCGGTTTCAGACAGGTTTGCTCAGTGAATGACTGAGAGGCATGGTCTTTGCCTTTTGCCTAATAATATTTTCTCTCTTTTTTTAACATCTTTTCATGCAGTGCCCTAACCATTTCTAATATTCAGGCTGGATCTACCGGAAACTGGGGCTGTCACGTGCAGACCAAGCGTGGGAACAACACGAGGACCGTCGACATCGTGGTACTAGAAAGCTCCGCGCAGTACTGTCCTCCGGAGAGGGTGGTCAACAATAAAGGGGACTTCAGGTGAGTGAGCTCAGTCCTGGGGAGTCCACTTGCCCCAGGTCTGTCCTTATTTTCAAAGCCACGTAATTAGTGTCCTGTCTTCAGCAATGACCCTTGAGAAATGTGTGTGTCTGCATGCATGTGCCTACATGTCTGTATGAGGACTGCCCTGCAGAACAGTGGATTCCGAATTGTTTATGGACATGGGGACAAAAGTGCCTGAATGTTACCTGAACCCGCTGACTTCTGCATCTCTGAGAGTAGAGTAGGTTTAACCAGCGGTTTTGTTGTGGACACTAAGAACAACCACTTCAGGAGAGAGTCCTAGCATTTTATTATTTTTTTTCTAGCACTCCTTTTTAGGTGAACTTTAGAGGTTTTGTTTCGCTTAGTCACTTAACTCACGGCAGTTGAGTAGGTACCATCGTTCGGAAACCATCTCATTTTCTCCCTCCGTTTAGGTCTTCTGGCAGTGAAGTGGGTTATTGAACTCTGTGTTAAGATGAACAGACTGAGTTACCTTTTTATTTTTAACAGAAAGTTTAGAATTAGTGAGACGTCCCAGCTTTTACCTTACATTCTCCTTAACTTGCAAAGTTGCTTTACAACGTCTTTAATTAGGTTACTTAGTCGATATTCTTTGTGCTCACGGATTTTAATTCTGAATTTATAGTTGATATAAACAAAGGAAGTGTGCTGTGCTTCAGGTAACATAAAGATTATTTATGGCCCAGTTCGTTTTACCCGGGATAGGTACTTCCGTCACTTCCTGGCTGTACCCACGATGTCTTAAGGGTAATAAACCCTTCGGTGATAATCTTTCAAATCCAGAGTGAAGAAGCCAAACAGCTTTAGTTCAACTAGTTTGCCATCGCTTTGTTTTGGCGGGGGGTCCTATTAGAAAAGTGTTTTCCCTGAGTTGAGTATATAGGTATCAGCAGTAATTGCTATAGGAGAAGTCTTTGGTGTGGATTAACTATTGATCTGTACTATTTATATTGAATACTTTAAACTGTAATAGATAAAAATGAATAATTTTGTGATCTTCTACCTCTTTTTTCAATAATCATAATATGTTTTCTGCTAAGGGTGATTTTTTTGTTTTACTCATAGTTTTTTGAGTACTTTACATTTTTTAAAATAGAAGAAACATCTAAATATTGAGCTCATTAATGAATTATTTATCTTTTAACACTCTTGAAGGTATTCTATAATTCAACTCCCACTGCATTAATAAGATTTAGTTTAGTGTTGCTTGATCCATTTATGCAGTTTTTGGTAACGAAGTCTATTTTGGTGTGACTGAGAATATAATTTCGAGGTTTCTGTTTTATGCATCAGCTGTAACTTACAGCGAATATGTTCAGTATCATTCCTACTTTGGCAGAAATAGAACTCAAATAGCAACATTTTCTCTAACCCAGTAATGAGGACCCATGTCCGCAAATCATGTAGCCGTTGGTATAGAGGGGCTGCTCTGGTCAGCTCCGTCGCCTCCTGTGTTGGATGCTTTCAAGACCACTTCTAGGCTCAGGAGTTTGCTAGAAGCTCATGGGACCCAGCACATAGTTCAGCTCACAGCTAAGATAACAGTGATGTCATGTCATCCATCCATGAATCGTAAGGGGAAAGAGAGTTCTAGAGGAATCTGTGTGGAGGCTTCTTTACTCTCACTCCCTCCCATGAGGGGTTCCACAGAGCCTCTCCCTGCAGCGGGAGAACTGCAGCCACTTGGACACACTGTCTCTGCCCAGAGAAGTCCGTTGGAGGCTCAGCACCTCAAGCTTGTATTGGGGGCTGGTCAGGTAGGCACCCTCTGTGTATCATGTACCCAAACTCCAGGCTCCCAGGACAAAAGCAGGTGTCCAGCATAAACCACAGTTGTCTAACAGGCTATGTGCAGAGGCCCTCCCCTGCCAGTTAGCTGCTCGAGGAACACCCCGCCCCTCCAGTTCCCAGACACCAGGGAAGGGCAGTTTTGCAAGCAGGCCTTACTCAGGACAGCAGTGTCAGACCTGCCATGGTGACATTTTCTGAACAGACACTGGCTGTGCTTCTGCTTCACAGACACTGGCTGTACTTCTGCAGAATCTGGGTTCTTTTTAGAGTGGGCCAGATTCTGACCTTAAATACTTAACAACATAAACCAACAGCATTATAACAATAATTAAAAAGAAACACGTGACTATGTATTACACCATTTTTCCTTTTTTTTTGATTTTTTTGAATGGATATAATGTCGTGTCTCCATTTGTAGCAATATTTATAGAATTTTAGAATTTTATTTTTAGAAATTTTTTTTTTATTCTTGGGACTGGCAGGTGGCGTGGTGGTTAAGGGTGGGGTAGTGGTTAAGGCACTGGATTCCCACATGGCCGACCACGGTTTGAGTCTCAGACCTGGCGCTTGCTTTCTCTCTCTCTCTCTCTCTCTCTCTTTCTCTCTCCCCTGTCCTTCTCAGCTCAAATCAAAATAAATAAAGTTAAATAAATAATTCTTTTCAAAAAAGAGCATTTTTATTCGGCTGTGGTACTAAAATATACTTGACTGATAGATGAAAGCAGGTTAGTTCATGCTCACATTAAAAATATCGATTTGGTTTTTATTTACAAGGACGATTCATTGCTTTCTGCTCCTGGGGTCTCCCCTCTGCTTGCTCACGTGTGTCCTGATTCTTGATCTCCCTGTCGCTGGACCTGACCCGCCTCTGACCAGGCCTCCGTCCCCCTCCAGGTGGCCCAGGACGCTGGCCGGCATCACCGCGTACCTGCAGTGCACCCGGAACAGCCACGGCAGCGGCATCTACCCCGGCAGCCCCCAGGACGAGAGGCGGGCATGGCGCAGGTGTGACCGAGGCGGCTTCTGGGCAGATGAGGATTATTCTCGCTGCCAGTATGCCAACGACGTCACCAGGGTGCTGTACATGTTTAATCAGGTAACCGGAAACTCTCCAGACTTACCCAGCTTGTGAATAAGACACAGTATTCAAACCTTACACAGAAGATAAATGTATTCTTAAAAGCTAGGGGCCAGCAGGTGGTGTGGTGGTGAAGGCACTGGGTCCCACACCGCCAACTCCATGATTCAAGTCCTAGATTCAGTGTCCCGAAAAACAGCTTGGCACATGTGCCCAGAGTGCCCCAGAGGAGAATGAAGGAGGCATTGCGGCGTGGCCATCTCCTCGGGGGGGATTTCGTATTTTCTCTTTCAGTCTCTCTCTCTCTGGCGAATGCATGCAGTCTATGACAAAAATAAATTCTAAAAAACAAACAAAATAAAACAGAAAAACTAGATAAAGGATTTGGTGTTCTCCTTCAGCTGCTCTGAATCCTCAGGACCAGGCCTCGCCTTCATACCTGTGTTCTGTGCACACACCGTTCCTTTCCAGCCACTGCCCGACTTTGTACTTGTGCTTGAAAACCCTTTTCATCTGTATCTACGAGACCACAGATCCCCATGTTTGAAATGTCAGAAGTAGAGAGCCACCTCTGGGTTCCTTTCTGAAATCTCTTTGTCCAAAGTGACTCGTTAGACTACTTGCGCTGTTTGTAAGTCTTTCACTATCTTTGCTTCTATGCATTTTTTTAAAGTCCACTCCTTGTGTTCACTGGAGAGGAGATGGACAGAGAGACAGTGAGAGGGAAAGTGAGCAATCACCCCTCCCAGGGGCATGGCCACACCACAATCCTTTTTCTTCCATTCTCTTGGGAAGAGTGGAATGCTCACACACACCCAGTGTGAGTTTCAGGCTGCTGGGTCTGAGACTTGGCCATGGTCGGCCATGTGGGGGTCCAGTGCCTTAACCACTACACCACCTGCTGGCCCCAGCTTCTATGCATTTTTTAAAAAAACCCTACCAGATTGGGGACCAGCAGAAGATGCAATGGCTACGTCGCTGAACTCTCATGTAGTCGACCGTGGTTCAAGTCCTGGATCCAGTGGCTTAAACTCACACCAGGTGCATGTGTGTGCATGCCCAAGATCCCAAGAGGAGAATACGGAAGGGATTGCAGTGTGGCCATCCCTCCAGGGGATGATTTCTCTCTTTCTGTCTCTCTGTCTGTCTCTGTCTTTCTGGTGAGTGCACGCGCCCTATAGCAAAAACCTCTCCAAAAAAAAGAAAGCTTACCAGATTGTAAGGAAGTGGAAGATGGCTCACGTGTCCCACGTTTTCTTTCCGCTCCTTAGAACCCAGTGCACCATTTTTGTAATGGCTGATGCTAAGTCATTGTTAAAATCTGTAAATAAATAAATGTGAAACGTCGTTGGTGGTGCCGGGCACTGCAGTTAGAGGCGAGTGCTCCGTCAGTGGCTCGCACTCTAGGAGGGTCCATCGCACCCACTGGAACTGGAGAAGGCCTTTAGTGAGCGGCTGAATTGAGGCACGTGTGCAGCGAGAGAGGAGGAGACGGTGCGGCAGGTTGCCTGACGCGGCCTTGTTTTCTCTTTCATTTTTTTGCTATCAGGCATGTGCACTTTCTTGAAAGAGACAGAAAGGCGAGAGTCACTCCCCGGGACATGATGATGTTGCAATAACCCTTCTCCATTCTCCTCGGGGTACTGGGCGCTCACACCTGGTGTGTTTTCAGGGTAGCGGGCCTAGAACTCACACAGCTCAGTCAGCCATGTGGGTCCAGGTGCCTTCCCCACCATGCTCTCCACTGGCCCCCTGCCTGGTGTGTTTTTATGTCTTATTATATTTCATTCCACGTTTATAGGGATTTCTCTCAGGTTATTTTTGTGGAAATTCCAGTTTACTTGGTTTGAAAGGTATTGAAAGAAGGTCGCCGTGAGTGAGTGACACATCAGAGCTCTGACGCATGCGCGTGTTTTGAGACGCACCATTCCAATGGCGTCCTTCTGCTGACCACTGTGCTGAGTGCTTTTGCCCTCTTCACGCAGATGCCCCTCAACCTCACGAACGCCGTGGCCACAGCCCGGCAGCTGCTGGCCTACACTGTGGAGGCAGCCAACTTCTCTGACAAGATGGATGTTATATTTGTGGCCGAAATGATAGAAAAATTTGGAAGATTTACTAAAGAGGAAAAGTCGAAAGAGGTATTTTCTTAACCTTAGATTTGCAGCATGCAGTGTCTGAAAAATGCAAATGTGCTAGGTTCTACGTATGCAGTTTTAAAGCCTGTTTTGAAGTAAATACATTGTGGTGTTTTTTTTTGGAGAGGTTTTCACTATAGGGCGCGTGCGCTCACCAGACAGAGAGAGACGTAGAAACAGAAAGCGAGAAATCACCCCCCAGGGGGGATGGTCACGCCACAATCCCTTCTCCTCCATTCTCCTCTCGGGATCTTGGGCACGCACGCACACGCGCCCAGCATGAGTTTTAAGCCACCGGGTCTAGGACGTGAACCACGGTCGACTACATGGGAGTCCAGAGACATAGCCATTACGCTAATTGCTGGTTCCCAATACACTGTATTTTTAAAATGTTGATATGTTAATTTGGTCCATGTGAATGGGACACAGACGGAGACCCCCTAACGGGATCTCCATGCCCTGATCCACCCCGGCCTCAGTGGACCTAGATCCTGGGCATGCTCGTGTGTCTGGCTTGTCTAGGGAAGCCTTGGGATGTGAACCCAGGAGATTCTAATGCGGTCCAGTTGTGTTACTGTAGTGCTATTGTCTGACTCCTAAGTGCACTTTTTGATTTCCACAATTGTCACTGATAAATTTAGACTCCAGCCCTTCAGGTGCCTGATTGTTGCTGCGGGGTAGGAATGAGCTGTCCATCTTGCCAGGTAGGGTCCTGGGTGCAGCGGAGGTGGGGGTGGGAGCAGCCTCTGCCTTCACATGCAGGTAGCCGGGGTGTTCACCGGTCATTCTTGGTTTCTGTTTTTCACCCGACCATGTGAGCAGTCGCCAGATTGTCTGGTAAATTGCTTCTTTGTTTTGCTTATGTCTTGGAGAAAGAATGACTGTTTAGGCACTTTTTTGACATTCCAAATGATTGGGATACAAAACTGTAAAAATTTAATGACTTCCAAAAAGACTGCGTTTCCTAGGGCCACATTCAGAATATGATGTGCTGTTCCCGTGAGCCTTGTCACATGAGCTGACTGAAGAGTCTCTGTCAGTTGATTGTGTTAATGTCTTAGATTTTGCGTGACTTGGTTAAAATTGGTGTTAGGATTATTCCCCTCCCCCCCGCTGCCCGAGGGTGTGTGCACTCGCTAGAGAAAAAGAGAAAACACTTCCCAGTGGTGCATGGTCCTTCTTCATCCCATCAGGATTTGGGACACACCTACACACACGCCCGGCATGTTCTTAAGGCACAAAGGCTGGGTTCGAACCATGGGCAGCCACATGGAATCCAGTTCGCTCTGTACCTACTTGACCACAGCACTCTGGGCAGAATCTGGATTAAATATTACTACACTCCATTGTATATTACTCTGCTGAATTCCTATCAGCCACCCTAATCTAAATCTCTTCTAAAAAATGGATTTTCTTGTCTGTTTAATGTTTTCTTCTCTATATAGAAGCAAGAATTCGTGTATTTCTTTTACTGATTTATGTCCTTGGCTTAGGTTGGTGTCTGGCTCACATTGGTCCTCCGTATTTACCTAGTCAGTGAACATTGTAAATAGACGATGGCAGTGAATGTTTTATTTATCTAATTTTTTAAAGTTTATTTCTTCCCTGAGAGAGATCGCATGCTCAGGGAGGTCCCGGGATGTGAACCTCAGACCTTTCCCATGTGGATCCACTTGTGCATCTCCCTCTGGTATCCATGTAGTGGGATTTAAACGATCGTTGCGGGATGTGGAGAAAATGAACTTCCATAGCGTTTGGCCTCTGTGGCAGCTCCTACACGAGTGAATAAAGGCATAACTGGAAGGCCTTGTTACTCCCGCCCTCCCGATGTTTATCATGGTCATGCAGGAAATGACTGAAACGCTCTGTTCAGGGCAGCACAGAGGCGGGAGGCTTGTTAAAACTGGGTCAAGGCGAGGTCTGGGGCTTTACAGGGGGCAGAGAGGCAGTTTGGTGGGCTTTGTCTTGGCCGTATCTGAACATAGACTTACAAAACGCTACCTTCGGGGACTTCGAGGGCTGGCTTCTTTTTCCTTTTCCTTTTTTTTTTTTTTTTTTTTTTTTTTGGGGGGGTGGTCTCACCATGAGAGGGGTTAAAACTGGGTCAAGGCGAGGTCTGGGGCTTTACAGGGGGCAGAGAGGCAGTTTGGTGGGCTTTGTCTTGGCCGTATCTGAACATAGACTTACAAAACGCTACCTTCGGGGACTTCGAGGGCTGGCTTCTTTTTCCTTTTCCTTTTTTTTTTTTTTTTTTGTCTTGGGACGTGTGCTCACCAGAAGAGAGAGCAAGCGAGCGAGCAAGCGCAGGCACCTTCACAGTGGGGCATGATCCCACCGGAAGCCCCTTTACTCCATTGCTCTATCCCATTAGGGTCCTGGGCACACACGCACACAGGTCCAGCATGGTCCTCAAGCCGCCGGGGCTGGGATTTGAACAGGGGTTCTGTGGGATGCAGCTCCCATCATGTGGTGCTTAACCACCGCACTCTGGGGCTGAGCCTTGACCCCGTCGTCCTAAAAAGAGAAAGCAGTTTGGGGAATGAAATGGTAAAAACCAGAGCGGGGCCATGAAGTAATGAGCACAGACTTTTTCTGCATGCTTATCATGTGCCAGACCTGGTTCCAGGAATCTCATGTTTATTACTGGAGCTTGATCTTTGCAATGAATGGGAAAGACAAGGCAGTTATCACCCCTCTTCATAAATGGTGCGGAAGTAGCGGGCTAGAATAACCAGCCCGGGTAGCTTGAGGCCAGCTCTTGACCCTGAGCTAAGTGGGGATCTGGTGTGTGTCCATAGGCCCCTCTTCTACCGTGAACCTTGGATGGAAGGGACTGAGCTTTTTCCAAACCTACCTCAGCACGCATTCATTATACATCCTGTGACGTGCATTGGATGTTGAGTGAGGTTGAAATCTCAGCTGGGATCTCCTGGGATGATCAAAAGACCTTTGCTCAAACAGCCATGGCTTTCTGGCGTGGCGTTGGGGCTCAGGGCCTTTGATACCTACTCCTTGATTAGAGAACCAGCCAGCCTGCACACCCTCTGATCCTACCACCGGCGATTTTGTTGTTTTTTTTCTCACGCTGCACTCCCTTTCATGAACATTTTGCTCGATACACAACCCTCTCAACCCCAGCCCGTCTCATTAGCCCTGGACAGTGCAGTGCTTTTTCTGATGTGGGATCTACGAGTCACAGTAAACCATATTCGGCTACTTCACACTGGTGTTGCCTGACAGGTACACCTGTAAGTTACAGAGTGAGTTAGAAAGAATCCAGTCAACAAAAGGAGTAAAACAAGCAGTGGGAAAGTGAGCGTCTCTTAGGGTTCATTTTCTTCCTGGCACTGGTATTCGAAGCATTCGGTCTCATTAGCCCTGGACAGTGCAGTGCTTTTTCTGATGTGGGATCTACGAGTCACAGTAAACCATATTCGGCTACTTCACACTGGTGTTGCCTGACAGGTACACCTGTAAGTTACAGAGTGAGTTAGAAAGAATCCAGTCAACAAAAGGAGTAAAACAAGCAGTGGGAAAGTGAGCGTCTCTTAGGGTCCAGTCAACAAAAGGAGTAAAACAAGCAGTGGAAAGTGAGCGTCTCTTAGGGTTCATTTTCTTCCTGACACTGGCATTCGAAGCATTCGGCAAGTTGGGAGGAAGGGGAGAAGGGGTTTGTCTGAGGTCCAGGAACCCACTTGTCCCAGGTACAAAGGAGGAAGATCACATGGCACACAAAGGGACCTCCCTCCAGTGGTCAGACACACCTAGAATTTGGATCATGTCAGGAGACCGAAGAGGTACTGGTGTTTCTTAATGATAGTATTTGACTTAAGCTACTGCTTGCATAAAAAGAAGTATTTATACATCATTTTCTAGGTGAAGAGTTGGTATCCTTGTACGGTGGGGTCGTGTGGCATCTTTTCCTTCTCTGAGCTCCCTGCAGTTCTTCTTTGCCATTTGAGATTATTTACCAGCAGTCTTTTCACCGGTGGAACGGTGGCTACTTACATGATTTGGAGCTAAATTTTGCCAAAAGGCTATCATCGAATGAGCTCTTCGTGTCTGGAGATGTTCTAATAAGCAAGTGCCTGTTCGGCTTTTAAGTGAAACTTCAGACCGAAGACTAATCTCGTTGTCTCATTAGGATTTTGGTTCTTTGAAACAGTCCATGTGGGTCGTAAAGTTCTTTGTGTTTCCCCCATGTGCCTGCTAGCTTGGTGATGTGATGGTTGACATCGCAAGTAACATCATGCTGGCCGATGAGCGTGTCCTGTGGTTGGCACAGAAGGAAGCCCGAGCCTGCAGCAGGATCGCCCAGTGCCTGCAGCGTGTTGCCACCTACCGGCTGGCCAACGGGGCGCACGTGTATTCCACGGTGAGTAGAGCACCAGTCTTTAAAGCAACCCTAACCCACAAGCAATGTGGCTCTCACTATGGGCTGCATATTTGTGGTTACTGTTAACTGTTACAGACGATCCTTTTCAAAGCATTTTTGAAGTTAATTTTTCTGTTGAGCTACCTCTTCTCTTAATAACTGGAGAATACTTTCTTCATCTGTAATTTGAATGGACATCTCTAATCCACCGCAGTTGTTGCTAGGCGAAAACCAGGAACATGCTAGTACTGTCCCGTTGTCCTAGCCTCCGGTCCCCTCGTTATATTCTGTCCAGGGCCCTGGAGGGTGTTTCGCGAGAAGGCCTGGTTACTTTCCTGGGCTCATTCGCAGAGGAGAACCGGGATGCTATCCAATGCTTGTGCGGCTGTTGGCATTTTCAGTCAACCCTGCTCTTGGGATGATGAGTCTTTAATAAATAATAATCACTCAGATAGTTAGTGTTACGTTTTATTAATGCCGAGTTGTACCCTTACCCATTTCTTGGTGTTCCTCACAGTGCGGTCCACGTGGGAATAACGTGCAAGTCTCTTAGCAGTCAACTCTCATCTGTTCCTTGAATTTCCTTTCCAAGTTATCTTAGTGGGTTTCCATAGTGTAGGATAGTCTGTGTTCCTCCTGTGGTTTTGTACAATTCAAGGTGACTGTAGTTTCCATTGATTTCTGAGACTTTTTATTTTTTTGCCAGAGGGCACATGTGCTTCCTGGAAAGAAATAGAGAAAATGAGAAAGCACCCCACACACACAAGAGGAATAGTCATGCCACACTTCCTTCTCATTTTCCCTCTTTTCAGGATTTTGGTCATGCATGCACACATGCCTGGCACTGGCATGATTTGTTTTTAGAGTTTTTTCTTTTTTTGCCTTAGGGCACATGCACTCTTTGTAGGGGACGATAGGAAAGTGGGGAGGGGGTATAGAGAGAGAAGATGAGAAAATACCCCTGTAGGGATGGTTTGCAATCCCTTCTTCTCCATTCTCCTCTCAGGATCTTGGGAATGCACACACTTGCACCCAGAATGATTTTGAAGCTACTGGATCTGGAACTCGAACCATGGTTGACCATGTGAAAGTCCAGTGCTATAACTACTATGCCATCTGCTGGTCCTACCTGGCATGTTTTGCAAGCTGCTGGGTCAAAGACTCAAACCATGCAGCCTGCCACGTGGGGTCTAGCTGCCTTACCCCCCACGTCATGAGCTGGCCCCTGAGAACCTTTCTGATGTTTTAGTGTTTTTCTGGTCAGCTAAGTTTAGGATTACTTTCTCGCATAAAAGTAAAATGAAGGCCCAGAAGCGCTCCTGTCTTTACCAGCTAGCTCAGGGTCGTCCCCTTCGCAGATGCATGATCTTACTGGGGACCAGCTGGCCACTTTTATGTCCCCCAGCCCCGTAGGCCCACTGTAAGTCCTCTCCTTTAGGTTTTCTTACTACTCACCTGGAAGAGCTTCCTTTCTCTGAACCTCACCGGCTCTTGGAGAATCCGGGGCATGACGGTGGTCGCAGAGGTCCACACACACCATTTTGACCTGTAAAAGCGGTTGCAGGGGAATGTACGTCTAATGATAAAGCAGGGGTGTGTGGCCCCAAGGCTGCTTCAGAATGACAGGTTTCTCTCTTTTCACTGAGGTTTTATGTGTTGGCCATGACTATCGTTACCTATCAGAAGTTACGATGCTAGTCTATACGAGGGAACTTCCAAACCAGTGTGGAAAAATAGAAATAAAGTACAAGTTTATTTTGCTGCAAAAACTTTTTTGAAAGCCACGCATGGTTTACTGTAGTGTGCATTTTCCATGCATTTTTTTGAGGACCCTGCCTTGCCCTGCGTCTGACACACAGTAGAACATTAGAATGCATATTATCCATGAAAATATAATTTAGTGAGGCTTTTTATAATGTGTACTCTGCAAGGCAGGCGGTAGTGCAAAGATTCCTTCCTCATGAACATGTGGACACCACTATTTTCTACCCTGTCTATGGCACTTGCCAAATTCTGTCTTAGTTTTCCTATTTTTTAAATTTGTATCTTAATTCCCTAATAGATTTTAAGCCGCTTGAACCAAATTCCCTTGCTTTGAAAACAGGAACAAGAAGAGAAGACATGGTGGTGTGTAGTGCTGAGAATGGGGCCCACCTCCCCGTGGTAGGCGTATACTTAAGCACCCCACAGAAAGCAGAGGGGTGCCACGTTGTCCTTACAGTAAATCCTTCCACCTGGCTGGATATGACGATGTGGCCCGCCAGCCTCGTCCCTTCTCGTGCCCTCCCCGAGGTCCTCGTGGGTGTGATGCTGGGCTGTGTGGGACATGGCACCTGTTGGCATTGACAGGGTGTATGTTCGGGCACAACCTTTCAAGTTTAGACAAAGATTAAACTAGCTCTTGAATTCTTTTAAAACCTTCAGGCATATTTTTTATTTTCTGGGTACTTTTTCTGACCTAATTTCCTTTTTTTTCCCCTAAGTTTTTATTATAGGGCATGTATATTTACCAAACAGACAGAAGTGAGACACAGAGAAAGTGAGAAGTCACCCTCCAGGGAGGGTTGGCTCCACTACAATTCCATCTCTATTTTCTCAGGACTTGGGGCACACATACACACACCTGGCGTGTTTTTCAAGCCACCAGGTCCAGGATTTGAACTAAGTGGTCGGCCATGTAGGATCTAGTTGCCTTAACCTCTGTGCCACCTGCTGGCCCTGACCTAATTTGTTTTTTTTTTTCAATCTGTTTATTTCCTACAATTTGACCTAGCGCCTTCCTTTTCTAAAGAACACCTTGGACTGAGCCTGTAACTTCATCTCCCTAAAACAGGAGGAATGGAGTGTGGCCTGGAGGTTGGATATTGACTGTGACCCGAATGAGAGACGTTGAAGCGTCTCTCCTAAATAAACCCTCAGACTTCGCCTTCTCTCCTCCTGCACCGCGAGCTGAAAAAGGAGAGATTTTCACTGTAGGGCGCGTGCGCTCGCCAGACAGACAGAGAGAGACATAGAGACAGAAAGCGAGAAATCACCCCCCAGGGGGGATGGTCATGCCGCAATCCCTTCTCCTCCATTCTCCTCTCGGGATCTTGGGCACACATACACACGCGCCCGGCGTGAGTTTTTTTAAGCCACCGGGTCCGGGACAC